AAAGGCACATGTTCGCCATAGCTCGATTATTTACTGGTTGTAACAATATTTTCAGATTTAGTGAGGTCGATATAAATGAAATTTTAGAGGCGATTCAAAAATTAAAACCAAAGAAGTCAGCGGGAGATGATACAATACCTAGCTTTATTATTAAAGAATGCGCTGATTTGTTTGCCCCTTTACTTATGCACATATTTAACCTATCGCTGAGAAATGATGTATTCCCACGTTAAAAAAAAAAAAAGTCAGTGAGTGCCAATACACAAAGCCGGTGACGCGTCTAAGGTAACTACCGCCCCGTATCTTTGCTGTGTTATTTTTCAAAGGTTTTTGAGATAGTTTTACATGGCCGTCTTTCTTTTTACTTTAGTCGAAAACTAGGCACCGTTCAACATAGATTTATAAAAGGGCGTTCTGTAGAAATGGACCTTTCTTCTCTCCTTGAGTATACTGTCCGATTTGTTCTTACACGTGGGCAAGTTGATATTGTGCATTTTGACTTATCAAAAGCCTTCGATAAGGCAAATCATGACTTACTCTTGTATAAGCTCTCTTTATACGGCGTCTCGTCGTCTCTTTTAAACTTGTTTCATAGTTATCTGTCGGATAGGAAGGGTAGAATAAAAATCTTGAACACTTTCTCAGATTTATTTACTCTAACTTCGGGAGTCCCTCAGGGATTGAATTTGGGGCCGCTGATTTTTCTTATATACACCAGTGATATAGAATTGTGCATACAAAACGCGAAACTGCTCTTATTCGCTGACAGTATTAAGCTTTATCTTAGAATCCAGTCGGAAGGTGATTGTGCTCTTTGCAAGATGTATCATGTATCTCAAACTGCTGCTCATGTAACTTTTTGCTGGTCAATCCAGATAAAACAAAAGTTCTCTCTATGGTTGGGAAACGCGGAAGAATTTACATCAATGTTTTATCGGCAATTCTACTATTGAACGTGTGGAGCAAGTTCGTGACCTTGGTCTTTATTTCGTAGTAATCTTACCTTTTGATATCATGTTATACAAATTGTTGCTTCTGCCATTAGAACAATGAGGATGACATCACGTTTGACGCATGATTTTTTCAAATATAATGTGCGTAGTTAGATTGTTTTGTTCCCTTGTACGAGCTAAACTTGAGTTTTGTAGTCCAGTGTGCAATTCGCTCTCAATAACCGACGCTGCACGGATAGAAATAGTTCAGAAGCGATTTATATGCCTTGTTTACGTTAGATATTTTGATAGAAAATGTTATTTTGATTATGAATACCTTCTTAGAGAATTTTCAATACAGAACCTGTCAAACAGAAGAATTGCTCGTGACATTATATTTTTATGCAAAGTGGTTCACGGCCAAACATGTAGCAATCTAGTGTCGTCTTTAAAGGGGCGGTGCAACAATATTCAGTTGTAATGTTTTTGACTTTACACGAGCTTACTGGCACTAGTGGGACTCAAGGATACTCGCACGCAACGCAACTGACCAAAAAACTCCTTTGTTACGCTGTAATTTCGAGGACAAAGCCGAGTTTTTTCATTCAATCTCTCCTTCGCAAAACCTGATGACGTAGCTGGGCGGTAGCAGTACCGCCCAGTGACGATATTTGAATGCGGCTCATAGATTGGACCCCGACAATCGATTTGGGCTCGTGATAATCGACAGCTCGAGAAGCCTTCGGGTAGTGTCCTGTGTCCAATCGCTGCAAAGACGACAACAGCCGAACCATAACAATGTCTTGAACTGAGAGCGTGTCCTGTGCCTTGCCAACCCCAGCGCATGGCTATGATCAACATTCGCGGCATATAATCGGCTCCAGATCACGTGGCCGCTTGTTCTGGCTGCGAGTTGAGGGGGAGAACTCGGCTCGTTTTTCTTTATTTTTTCTACGACTTCGATTGCGTGTGGTAAAAAACAAACGGGTATTTCACAGGTCATTAACGTCAGGGATCCGTTCTAAGCGGTATTTGTGCAAAATACAAAAAAATCGTTGCATCGCCCCTTTAAACTTTCATGTACCGGCCCGTGTCGTTAGAAACTCAAGCGTGTTTTATACATCCATCCAAACGAGACCGTCCCCTTTGGCTCGAATGCAAATGTTTAACCCTTTCGGCCCTGGTGTCCTATAAAAAGGACATGAAGAAAGCTAAGTATTAAATGAAATCTAAACTGCCTAGAAACCGAAACAGGAACTGAGCCTGTGGCGAAAACATCCTTAATGGCATGGATATCATTTGCTTCTTCCTTCTCCTCCCCGAAGCTCCAGTGGTACACAAACAAAATGGCGGATGGTGAAAACGGCGGCAACAAAGGTGAGCGCATGTATGTTATTTTTTTACTCAATAGCTGCTCGAGTGTTAACGATGAGAACTTCGTGCATTGTTCCTAATATATTCAAGGCTGTAGTGGTAGCAGAAGGGTTCTTCTGGCATGAATATTATGTCCGCGGCTTGTCACGTTGTATGTGTCCTATAAATAGGACGCCAGGGCTCAACGGGTAACAGGGTTCTGTGGGAGGTTTTGCGACTGTGTGCTTGTTGTTTTCTTTTATAGGAGTCGTAATTTTTATTTTTGCCCTAATTATTTTTTGCTCAGGTGGGACAATACCTCCTGGAGTATTCTACTCGGCCAGAAGATCACTACGCCCAAGAAGGCCGCGTCTCGAAGATCCTGATATAATGTTTGCCGCGCTGGGAAATGGCGACATATCCGACGCTGATGATGAAGAAGACGAGACAGATGAAGCCAGCGCAGTTGCCGATGTGGCCCATGACGACTGGGCCAACCCGCAGGAACTGTCCGACTCTTCTGATGAGGATGACCAACATGAAACGAGAGCTCGAGACCCCGAGCCCTGGTGCAGGAAAGTTTTTGAAAAACCATGTACTCAATTTCAGACAGTTTCTGACGAGAACGATGCCTATCTTGGACCTCCTCTCATGCCATATGAGTACTTCTCAAGGTATGTGCCCAAAAGCGTGTTCACTGAGCTAGCCGATAAGGCAAACATGTACTCAATTTGCCATGATGGAAAATCAGTGCTGATAGATGAAGAAGAAATCAGAAGGCAAATTGCACTTCACTTGGCAACGGGTGTGATACGCTATCCTCGGTTGCACTTGTATTGGAAGCCTTCATTCAAGACCGAACTTTTGTCTTCTGTGAGCATGTCAAGAAACCGCTTTGTGAAGCTCAGAAATTGCCTTTATATTGTCGATGTGAATGGCAACCACAACGCCAATGACCGTCTCTGGAAAGTGAGGCCCCTTCTGAATTCGTCCCAAGAAAGGTGCCGTCAGCTTCCTTTGGAGGAACACCTTTGCGTGGATGAACAAATAATTCCATTCAAAGGAAAGCTTGATGTCAAGCAGTACGTCAAAGGCAAACCAAACCCTTGGGGCGTGAAGGTATTCATGTTGTGTGGTGCGTCGGGAGTCCTTTATGACTTCATCGTTTATCAGGGCTCCACAACAAAACTGAGTTCTGAAAACAAACAAACGTTTGGTGTGACAGGTGCGTTTGTTTTGCACTTAGCAGCAAGGATACCTGATGGCATCGGGTATCCTGATGACAAGTTGTTTTTCGATAACTACTTTACCTCCCTGCCGGTGCTCCGTGTTCTTGTGGAGAAAAGAATTTATGCTGCTTGTACTATTCAAAAAAGCAGAACTGAGGCAGCTGAAAAAGGAAGGCAGAGGGTCGTCTGACTACCTAGTGAGCAGTGATGGCAAAATCGTAATCACAAGGTGGATAGACAATCGAGCCGTAAACCTGGCGTCGAATTGTGTTGGCGTTGATGACGAAGATGTTGTGACCAGGTGGAGCAAAGCAGACGGTGACTACATAAGTGTCAAACGCCCTGCAGTTGTAAAGAAGTACAACGAAAGCATGGGAGGGGTAGAGAAGACAGATTTTTGGTGTCCCTCTACCGGACCTCGATTCGTTCAAGAAAATGGACGCTCCGTGTAATCGTGCACTTTTTCCATCTGTGTGTGACCAGTGACCAACTCCTGGCTCGTGTACAGGCATCATGCCCAGCTCCGAGGCATCAGCACGAAGGAGCAGATGGACTTACTAGAGTTCACCCTGGCTGTAGTTGAGAGCTTGGCAAAAGCTTGTTCCCTGAACTTGCCACGGAAGCGAGGACGACCATCTACCTCTCCGCTTCAACCGCTCAAGAGGCCCAACGCCACCACACTGAGACCAGTCCACGATGTTAGGCACGACCAGATTGGACACTGGCCTTCCGTAGAGAGAGAGCAGCAGCGATGCAAATTGGAAGGGTGTACAGAAAAGCCAAAGATAAAATGCCAAAAGTGCAACGTTCACCTCTACTTGTCCAGTGGAAAGAACTGTTTTCTGGCTTTCCACACACGATAGCTCCAACCTTGGCAAGCAACTGTGCAGGAAAGCGCAAGAGTGCAATGTGAACCTTCTTCTTATGCGCCGTAAAGAACTGTTTTCTGTCTTTCCATATAAGATGGCAAGCAATTGTGGTCAGACCGAGCAATTTTCGGCAAAATAAAGTTCACTTTTCGACTTCGCGTTTGTACATTTTGTTAACCTTCAAGCCCTGACGTCCTACATATAGGACATGACGCAATCTCGAATGATATTGAGTACCAAAGGAATCTTTTCGTTGCAAAGGCCTTTAACAAATGTATTTAAGAAAGTTCAGGCGAAAAAAAAATATCTGCACTGTAAAAAAAAAAAAAAAAAAAAAAATCAGGGCCGAAAGGGTTAAATGAATTTCCGACTCATGTAGACATATTTTTAAATTTTGCTGCGTTCAAACGACTACTTGATATGCAGATTTTTGATTTCTGATTTGTGAAATGTTTTAATATCGAAAGCCCACGTCGTATGAGATTTTGTACTGTTTTCTCTGTTCTTTCCCTTTTTTAAACTTTTTATGTGCCACGTACCACACTGTAACCAATAGGTTTTTTGGGGGCATGATACAAATAAAGGATTATTATTATTATTATTATTCAATAATCTGATCAACTGTAAAATATTTATTCAGATTTCTTACTTTTCTAATATTAATGTTAGTGGTCAAAATTGGGTACAGATTCGTCTGGCGTCGCACCAGACTCGAGGCTGTACCCAAAATGGTATTTCACATTCTCAGTATTGTTATGAGGTGAAGGCAAACTTGTGCGCGTTACTTGCAATATGTAATGGATTAGAATTACATATTACCGAGCCTCAAATGTAATGGATTACCGTTACAAATTACTTTCGCTGAAAATGAACGGATTATTTTACTCGTTACGTTACAAATTACTTTCCCGTTACTTTTCCCGCACACTTATCAAGAAAACAATAGAAACAATTTTGAAATTTACAAAAAAATGTTGGGCTACACTACTTTTCCTTTCTCATATGCCCGTATTATGGTAATCCTTGTAAAAATAAAAATTGCATTTAAGGGAAAGAGTGCATGTAAGGTTAATCCGTTCACCTGTAAGCTAACTAGGAACATAAACATGCAACCACACCCGCCACCCCGCTAGCTTATGGCTTTCTGAAATGATCCCTGGGACTGTGCAGACAAAGCTAGCGGTGCGCATGCTCAGTGGCAGCGTCTACCTCCGCTACGAGGTTCGGAGCTAACGAAGAGATCTACAAAAGATCCCATTTAACTCGGGTGTTTCACATGTTATTCACACGAAAAGAAAACTTGGTTCTAACGTTACAATGTACAGCCAACGCAGAATGCAGGTGTTCCAGCTTACCTTGATGTGTTTCCGATGATCAGAGTTTGTTGTTCTTGCTGATGACAATGTGTGTTTTTTTGGCAAGCAAAGTATGCACTGATATTCTAGGTTTCCGTTCTCCTTAATGTCCTGAAGTTTGAGCACCTCATTAAGAGATGGCCGTGGAGACGACGGAAACTCTATGTTTCAAAAACACTACCAGTCGGAGAAAAAGTGGCGGTTACGGGATATCGATCGTTTTATCGGTTCTCACTTTCACACCAATATTCGTAGAGCCCAGGAGAGGGGACGCCGTAGAGAGCGAGAGAAGCGGTGGCAATCGGTTTCACGAAACAATAGAGGATCGCACCAATTTTACGCGTCCTCTTTATCTTTGTCAGCACTCCTTTGATGGCTTAACCCCCCCCCCCCCCCCCCTTTATGTTGACAGATGACTGTAAAGAGAGGAGTGGACTCGACCACCATGCCCAGAAAAGTAAAGCAAAAGAGGTATCGCCCGTACCTTCGAAGACGATGCTTTTAGCCTCGCGCTGGGAGCTTTGCAATCGTGCCTCAAGGGCGTGCTAGAATACAGTAGCGCACATCAAAGACAAAGAGTGTTCGACCCCCTTGCGCGAGGCTAAATCATCTGTTACGCAAGTTGTAAACCCGCGAATCGAGGGGGTACGGACCCGCGTTCGACGTCTCCCGCCGTCGAAGAAGTTGGAAAAAGTGAAACGGTGTAAAAGACAAAAACAAATAAACAGGAAGACTTTTCTGCTGCTCAGGAGAAGAAGAAAAACACGAAAGAAGGTGACGGAGAGCCTATACTCGGCGACAACGTTTCTTAGCAATGCAGTGAAGAGGAGGAGAGCCCGCACACAGCTTTATCCAGCGCTCAAAAAGAGAGAGGAAACGCGTGCCTGTGCCCTCCACTGCGTTACCAAGAAAAGTTGTCGCCGAGTATAGGCGGCGTTGTCTTACTTGATATTTATATTTGTATACTTGTGCATGCCTTGCCCATTCCTCTAGTGGTTCTAGTGACCGGTCATACAAAAATCGTATTTTCTTTTCGGCTATTATCCCCTTTTTGATGTTTTCTATTTTGTTGAACTTGCTTTTTTAATGCTGCTGAATGTTCTGCTCGTATTGCTCCAGTTACTGAATTATGCTCATATTTTTTTAAAAAACTAACGAGTAATTAAAGTAATCCGTTATCAAAATTTTGTTACGAAATTACATTACAAAGTACTTCCGAAAAAAAAGCAACGTCTCAATTACAAAATTACCTGAACAAGTAACGGATTACTTTCCAAATCTGGGAGAAGAAGCTTTATCGAAAAAATTGCTTTAAGGTGTTTAATGAACAAAATGTATTGTGGTGCAAAATATTTATTTTTAGAACCTGAATTTCAAGCAAGGTATTCGCAAAAGTTCCTGTCCACGGTTTCACTACAATATTGAGTAATAGAGGAGAACATAATCAAACTCGTGACAATGTTTACTCGTTAATTATTGAACTAAACATTTTATCTGCGACTAAAATAGCTCGCTCTAGTACTTGAACAATGAGAGGTTATTGTGGAAAACTTACACCTAAGTGTGTTTTTGTTCGTTTTAACAAATTAAAGAAGCGTTAAGTAGCCATTTAAGAGGTAACCGCCGTAAAACTGAATCCTTAGAACACCCCCCCCCCCCCCCCTTTCTTCTCGCCAAATTACTCTGTCTCCGAAATCGAACACTTGAAAAGCTTTTGGGTAGGAAGCTATCAAAAATAAGAAGTTCTGTAGAAAAGGACAAAGCAAAGGTGCCACTGTGTCGCGTAAACTTGTGTTCGCTTCATCATTTTTTTTTGTGCGCTACAGCAAATCCCCAGCCTGATGTATCATACGAGCCAAGCGAGTATTTTCTTTTTGTGGTGACCAAACCATAACACTTTGAATTATGCTACATAAACTGAATCGGTGTGATGCAGCTCCTTTTAAGGAACAAAACGTGAGGGCGCAAGTGAGTTGGTGTAAGTTCATAATCGTAGAATTACACGGGACTGCGGTGACAACACAAAAACGAGAGGAAGTTTATTTACTTTTGTTTATATATAATCAGCGTTGCATACGCTTGACCGGTGTAACTTCAAAGTTCTCGGACGTTACCCCGCGATCTTTTTTCCGTACACGAGTAAGTGTTTTCCAACTTTAATGGAAGGGACCACTGGAACCATGCATTCCTGTTGAAAAAAGAAACGAACATAGCAAAATTTATGCGTACATATAAATCGCACCTGGCCATAGTACACGAAATCGGAGGAACGATTTGAAAGTCCAGATGCTTCTGATCCCACATTCTATACGGCATGCAAGTTTGTCTTGTCTTGGCGCACCGCGTGCCTCTGTTTATCCGCCAAATGCGCCCACGTCCTTCTGTTTCCCCCTGACTTGAACCAGTGGAGGCACGTGCGTGGCTTCCTCGTCAACGTGCGGTCCCTGCGTGTTCGCCTTTTTGCCCTTTTGACAAGAGTTCTCCTTCCCGCGCTCCCACGCGCCAAAGACGCCTTTTGGGATACTTGTTCACCGTACAGTCAGGGACAGCTTAAGCCGTGGCCACTCCCCGATCATCCGATTCTTGCTTCCCAGACAATACCATCGCAAAATTACCCGATAATTAAAAACGCCAAAGAACGAATGTCGGAATAAGAATCGTAAACACAGTAGGCCACGTCCTGTGTTTCTTATGGTGTTATTTACTATATATAGAAACAATTCTTTCCTCGAGCAGGAAATTTAGTATTCATATTGGCTATCAAACGCTGACTCATTGGTCAAGCTAAGCCTCTAGTCAAAGCCTGTCTTTCTGGTGTTTTGCTTTCTTAAGTTACTTTCTTTGACAAATATATAAGCGCTTCTTTCGTTGTAATATTGCACTTGAATTCGGCAACTCGTATATTTTTTTTCGTTTACTCCGATTTAATTAATTCAAAATTTCAGAAATCTTCAGTAGCCTCCTATATACTTACAAAACCTGGCAGATCGCAACGAGAAGCGGCCGCCGAAATGGAAAAGGTGGAGCGGCAGGCAACGGATGAGAGGAGAGCCAAGTGACTGGCGCCCCACTGCGGCGAGACGCCGAGACACACTTCTCCTGAGCGAAGAAGTGTGTTTCGGGTCCTCGACGTTGCAAAAACTGTGCGCTGACGTCCAAGTGCCCAGAGAAATGGTTCTTTGATGCTCCTTGTTGGCAGATCACCGCGTTCCAAATCTGCGACCGGGCACTCTGTGGCTTCGTCGTCGAACTGCCGGGCTTTGTGAGTATAGAGGAGGCCATGGTAGGTGCATAATCTGTGTTCTATTGTACACAGGTAGAAGCTGTGGGGAAGGAAAAGACGAAAGCGCGTGCGGACGTCAGAGCGCCGAGCGCTGGTTGGAACATCGAGCTCCGGCTTTCGCGCTCGACCGCGTTCGAAGGTCAACGCCAGCATCCGGCAATTAGCGTTCGTTTTCGAACTTGTTCGAAGAGGGAGTAGAAAGAGAGGCTACTAATACTAATTTTGCGCCTACCCACAAATCATTCCAACCAGAGCTTTGTGTTCTGACGTTCTCTCTCAGTTCGTACTCATATCCTTTGAGAGGATGATGCCACAGGCTCTCCTTGAGCCTTACAGTTTCGAAACATGGAACGCATAAGCTAAGTCAGCCTACTCAAACTTCCTTTAGCACAAACATGAGCTAAGCACGGACAATTCTAGACGAACTTACCGGTAGGTGGATCTAGGCTCAGCATGGGCATGTACTACAGCCCATTGCTTTGATCTTCTCCTCGCATAACGTTCCTCTTGGCAAGAGAAGAGAATAGCCAGCTCCCATTTCCCAAGACGACCCACCTGCCGACGTCATGAGCCGCTACGTGATCGATGATCACTCGGTTTTTCCCGGGCTAATAGGGGTTGGTATAGTTTAATCGAAATGCGTTTCGTCGGCAACGTTTAATCCGTTTCAGCCACGAACGTTTGGCAGGCACACGCTTTGTATAGACCCTGCGACATTTTAGACAAGTTAGTTTTGTGAACACGTGCTCTCGTGATATTTCGTCCACAACATATTTGTTTCACTAGGTGGATTGGAATGCATTCATGGCTTCATTTCGCTTTCTGGCAGCATACCGGCAATACTGCGAACCACCCAGTCGGTTCCAATACAAAAAAAAAAAAAAAAAAAAAAAAAAAAACCGAGAACTTTGAACTTATGTTTCCAAACAGTGTCAATAGTTATATTCCCATCGCTTTGCTTAGTTACACTCGGGAAAAAGGAA